TTGAAAAGCAGTTCGGTGCATCTGTAATAATGCACGGCAACGGGGTATATTTCGCTGCAGTCATTTTTAACTGACTTCATAAAACCATGTAAAAAGTAGTAAAACCTGACCAAAATGGAAAAATTATTAATTCTGCTGAGCTTGGTTGGCGTGTTTTTGACAACTATTACACGTAATGAAGGGCTTATTGACCTGATCCGTGAATCTCTGCAGACCTGTTTGACCAAGCTGCTGAGTTAACAAAACAAAACCACGACAGATATGGACAATTGCGTCACCGCCGAGTTGTTCAACAATACAAACGGTATAGATATACGTCTTTGAGTAGTGGAACTATCACAGTTTTTTTTGACGTAGCCCTTACGTGGGAAAACAGCCATGAAAAAGTATTGAAATTCCAAATGATAAAAAAAGTTATAGCCAAAAAGTACTGATTAGGATAGATTTTGATGAGTTTTAACATATTCGCATTGAATGAATTTCAACCAAATGATGGGTTTTCGAGAAAATTTTATATCGATAAACTTAATTTCAGCGGGCAAAATTTTGCCAAGATTTTTGCCGAAAGTCCAAGAATTCAAAGTGACATAAGAAACAGATCCAGTTTTATTTCAATTTCAAATGTCGTGCTGCTATTTTTATACGTTACTGCTGATGCGATCTGTCGAAACATTTAGCATTTCGTCCTTGTGTGTTCAGTGTCCTTGTGTTTTCCTTTCATCCATTGTACATCAATCCAATCTTCTATAAATCAAGGCATTATTATATATCAATGTTACCAGCAATACATCAAGTCACTATCCATCGAAGTACCATCCTTCATTCATGTAACCAGCTATCTGTTCATCGAGCCATAATTTCATCTATTCAGTAATCCATTGATCCAACCAGGCATCTGTCCGCTCCTCCAGCAGTCCATCGGTCCATCCATTTACCCATCATGTACCCATCAATTCAACCATCAGTTCAGTCAATTATGCATTTTTCCGTCCAGCCATCCATCGTTCCAACTAGCCATTGATACGCCATCCCACAATCTAGCCATCGATGGATCTTTTTATCCATCCAGCCATCCATCCATACATCGTTCAACCTTTCATGCAGCCATCCAGCCACACCTCCCTCCATCGTTCCATCCAATAGCAATCAATCCAGCCATCAATCGATACATCAACCATGCATCGGTTCAGCCATCCAACTAACCAGCCATCCATCAGCCATTCGAGTAGTTTTTCCAATTAAGCTAAAATCTGTCATTTTTCAGGATCAGCTTTAGTTCAGAGTGCTCTTAGTTGTATTTATTGGAACGAAGCATGTACTTGAAATTGTCTTTAAATCCAGGAATAGGTGTTTCTCGATTGTGTTTACCTTGTGTTCAAGTGATCTATGTGAATATTAAACTAGTTAGTGGCTAAACATAAGTGATTGGATTTTCGTGCAATTTTTAGTTTTTTTATAGTGTGCCCAGGCTGTAAACATGGCTCTCTACGGACAATTTTTTTTAAAGAAAGTGTTGGGATCTACTGTACACTCCCCCCTCCCCTATGGTATCTGTTTAAAGGTCTCCTCTACTAAAAATAAATACAGTAAATTAACATTAGAGCTGAGTGGCGCCTAGGAAATAAGACAAGAAAATTAGGCGACCTAACGAAATGGAATTTAGACGATAATTCTTATTGAATTTATGCTATAAGAACTAGGTCATCAAAAATTTTTGTTAAGAATGAATTTACACGAAAAAAAGAGTATATGATCACAGAATTGTTCAAAATTGTTATCATAAGTTGATTATAAAACTTTCATGCGAAAAAAAAATTACCTTTTTGAAATGCAGTATTGATATAACTGTGATATTAATAACCTGATTTATTTTTGGACAACCAATTATCACTCAGCTAAAAATTAATTGAAGTCTGTAAACGAATTTCACGCAATTTATAGGCAAGTTATCCCTGAAATTCCGTTATTTTTTGATATTCTATTTGGTTGTCGCCTAAATTCATAAGCCCGATAAAAACTGGTACACTCTAGCACGAACATTTATTAAGTTTATTGCAACAATGGCTAATTGATGTGGTTTTATTTTGTGGTTTATTTTATTCCTGTCACTGTTATTGGAAACATCTTGTAACCAATGTTACCAAACCTTCCTGAAGCACTGAAATTGATAACTACATAATTTTTGCACTTTCATTTTTTACCAAGTAGTTTACCCAAACCGTTCTTTACGCCTATGACTGGTAGGTGTATCATGCTTCAGTTTTTTGCATAACGCATTGTGTTACATTTTTACATTTGACTTCCGTCACAGTGCGTAAAATTCAATTAGTTAGATCACTCCCGCAGTATTTTTGCTTCTGATATTTCATGCATTTTTACTTCTGTTTTCATGCTTGCTTCTCTTGACTTTATTATTCGATCAGCCTTCTGTAATGACACTAATAATGAAATGATTTTACAAATAATCACAGTTTAATAATAGTGTAAAATAGTTGAACTATTACTTTTTCCCCTCATTGACGAGTGAACTTGAATCGGAAACTGAATTAGGATGTAATTAATTTTTCCCGATTAGTTGCGGAACCACAAATGACTACAGCTAGTCTTAACTAGAAAGTCAAAATCCAACTCACAGTCAACTAGAAAGAGACCGTTCTTAGCTTCGAAAAAAACAACAGAAAGTTGTTAAAATGTCCGTGAATCAATTTCAGTTAGTTGATTAATGTATCACTTAAAGTGCGTCCGTTTTCGTATTTTGCTTGCGTAATTCGCCTTCCTTCAGGCAAATGATTTGTGATTTGAACTGAAAAAAGAACCAAAAGTAGAACAGGACCGCTCGTATCAGGGCAAAGCCATGACTGTTCCGACTGACTTTTGAGGTGTATGGAGCAGAAATAACATGAAAAAATTAAATGTAGAAAAAATGAAAAGAAATACTTTTTTTTTTAAAAGTTTGGGATTTTTTGTAAAACTCATCCCCCACACGCCATATTAAGTACAAACTGATAAATTTTGCTCCTAATAACAAGTAAATTATGGCAAGTAAGCTTTCTTCAACCAATTAGAACGATTTCTAAGACGGATTAAATCTCCGCTTATACGTTAATAGCGCGAAATATATCTGAATGTTTGCCAAGTCCACTCTGAATAATTCATTACTTCAAAGTTACAATGTAAAATCTATATCCCCTTCAGCTTATGCTCCATTTCCCAAAAGACAAATTCCCACCCAATTTTTAGCAAGTTGACCAATTCTCATTCCCAAAAATTTGGGGCTGATTAATACACCACTTTCCGCTGTTAACCTCGGAGTTTATTCTAGGCATTTCCGGTCCGAGACGCCCGAAAATCAAATATAGGTCACGATGGGGTCACCCGGGTCAAAAATTCTATTTTTTGGTTCCGAGTCTTATAGTGGTACTACTACCAAGTTTCATCCATATCCCATTAATACTTCCCAAGGTATCCCATTTCTAAGGTCCGTTATCTTTTTTCCCGGGAAAAAGTTATTGACGCCGGAAGGAGTCGCCGGAGGGAGTCTACTTACATGAAATCCCTTTTCAGAGCTAGGTGCCAGTTTCTAATGCCGCCATAAAATCAATATCGCCTCGCTCACTTTTTTGCGTAAATTGTCCACTTCCGGTCTAAAGGGTGTTTTTCCCAAGTGGTTATAACTTCCCGTCCCACCGTCAGATTTGGTTCAAAATTTAATACATGATGTATCTTGTCATTACCTAACATATGCCATAGTTTTAGATCCCCGCGTTAAGTGTTGGGCGTGAGAAACGACTTCCGGAAGTTCGGCACGGGGGACTATTTATTAAGGGAATTTGTTAGCGCTGTATATCTGGAAGCTCTCATCTTCAGGTCTTCTAAGGTTGCGTAAGTTTCCTAATAGAGCCATAGAGATGATTGGCCTTAAAGTTTGTAGGATCCTTTCACTGTGTTGCTGAGAAACGCAAAAGATTTTCATACCTTATGGTAAAACATGGGCAACAGGTGGATTTTTCGAGATCTCTGGGATGTTGATATCTCCTATTGAGCCGAATTCTCTGCGATTTCGGAAATTTGTTGCCTCTTTGTGGGCCAATTTCTTGCAGGACCCTATTAGTGCTAGATAGGGGCCTGTTAGGGTCGAGGATGCTGCTACCCGTATATAAAGACTTAATTTCAGGTTTTTCCACAAATGACTGCCTCGACTCGGGCAGCTTGCACAGTCGCGAAAGTGCAATATTAGATTTGTATCAAACTCTGTTTTTGTTGGCTTTTGATGTAGATAAAAACAGTTACATTTTTAATCGAGAAGTTTTTGACACTAAACGAGACAATAAGGAGTGTCGAGATGTGAACAAATTTTGAGATGCACAATAAGCTGCTGCTTATCTGGTATAAAACAGATGTGAAAAACACGCACATTTGAAAAAGTTGGAGAGTTCATCCTTCCTAAAAATTGTTGAGCTATGTAGAGGCTCTAATGATAGTGATTGATGGGCTAATTTCGGCGTAGGTTTTGTTTGACTAAAAAACCAAAATTTTTTCGTTTTTGGGGTAAAATTTTGGGCGTAAATTTCGTAAAACAATTTTCAGCATATTACTTCTTCTAAAATGCTAAGCAAATTTTATCTTCATAATGTTTCACCTAAAGTCAACCCGAGTTGGGAACTTTTTTAAATTTCAAGTCCAATGCAATTAATTAAATCAGCACTGCTAATGAAGTTACAAATAATTTTGCGTTCATTAATTTGGATTCTTGCCCAGAGATGAAAACTTTCTGTGCAAAATTACCTTTTAGGTCTACAGAAGATTGTGGGCATCTCTCTTGAAAAGCAGTTCGGTGCATCTGTAATAATGCACGGCAACGGGGTATATTTCGCTGCAGTCATTTTTAACTGACTTCATAAAACCATGTAAAAAGTAGTAAAACCTGACCAAAATGGAAAAATTATTAATTCTGCTGAGCTTGGTTGGCGTGTTTTTGACAACTATTACACGTAATGAAGGGCTGATTGATCTGATCCGTGAATCTCTGCAGACCTGTTTGACCAAGCTGCTGAGTGAACAAAACAAAACCACGACAGATATGGACAATTGCGTCACCGCCGAGTTGTTCAACAATACAAACGGTACAGATATACGTCTTTGAAGAGTGGAATCTATCACAAAATTTTTTGACGTAGCCCTTATGTGGGAAAACAGCCATGAAAAAATATTGAAATTCCAAAGATAGAAAAAGAAATAATAGCCAAAAAGTACTAACTAGGATAGATTTTGATGAGTTTTAACATGTTCTCATTGTATGAATTTCAAGCAAATGATGTGTTTTCGAGAAAGTTTTATATATAAACACTTAATTTCAGCGGCCAAAGTTCTGCAAAGATTTTTGCCGAAAGTCCAAGAATTCATAGTGACATAAGAGACAGATCCAGTTTTGTTTCAAATTTTTGTGCTTCTATTTTTATACATGATTTTCTATTGGTGTTTGAACGTTACTGCTTATGCGATTTGTCAAAACATTTAGCATTTCGTCCTTGTGTTTTCAGTGAGCTCTAGTCTTCCGTCTGTCGTGACTAATTCCACTGAAGTGCAAACTGTCAATGATCTCTTAGCCAACTGCTCCTCTGACTTCGCAATGGTCAGCTCAGTCACCGGGGACATCACACAGTGGTACTGCATATGTCTAAATACAATCATAACCTACAACCAGGGACCTCCTTATGGGTAAGCTAAGTACTTTGTCTCCATCTCCCAAACAAAAAACCAGAGAAGACCTTTTGTATGGTAAAAGAGCCTGGTTTGTAATACGTTCCGTTTTCAATGAGTTAACCTGAAGCTAAAAAGGCCCACAAACAAAATTTTAAGCATTTAAAAAAAATCGCATGCAGTGCACAAAACTTTGTCAAAAAGGTTGTTTTCAGTCTTCCGGAAGAGCTCGAAAGATCAATTGGGTCACAATCAGGAAAAATTTAAAGTTTTTCTTTCTCTCAATGTCTCAATTCTTTGTAACCTTCTCAGCCAATGGATCTATAGCTAATCAAATTCTGCGTGCAATTTTAAATTGTGCAAACCAAAACGATTGACAAACAACTTTGACTCTAGAAGTTCAACTAGATACCTATTATCAGAATTTGATTTTTCATGAAAATTTTCACAGTGATCAAATATAAAAAGCCTTGTTTCAGGTCAAATTCAACCAATTTTCCGTCAATTGTAGATCCAATTACAAACGAAACAATTGTTTGCAATCAAACAAACTCTGACATTCGGCTTTTCAATGGTGGAAATCTTACCGCAGCCACAACATTGGCAAATCTCACCACAACCACAACTTTGGCCATAAGTCCATTGGTTGCGGGTACAAATGGTACTAACGATATAAACGATACAGATGATGATGGCAACACCACGCGACCACTCGCGTTCAAAAACTCAATCTGTTTATTCAAAAACAATCATGCAGTTACATTGTCTTCTCTGATTTACTCTGTTGTGTTCGAATTTTGGAGTTAAGGTTGAAGTTGAGTTTTGGACCACTTTGATTTGTTCTAGAAATAACGAGCTTAAAATTTTTGACATAGTTTGAATTATTTTTTGAATTGTTGACATCGTTTTTTTTGGTTGTGTTGATTTTTTCACTCAAAGTTGTAATAGCTCTAAATTGTTTTTTTTGGGGTTTGATTTATTTTTAGTTCATTCTAAATTCATAACGTAAGGCAAATTTTGCTTTTAAATAACAAAAGTTGAAGTTGCGCAATTAAACGAGAATGGTTTCTAATTTCAAAAAAATATATATTGTTAGAATGTCCAGCGGAAATCAAAAAATTATCTATTAATCTGAGTTTGGGTTTTTTTGATCAAAAAAGTGTTAATGTTAACAAATTCATGAATTCGAAAAGGGTTGAAGTGATAATTATTTTTCTTGGAAACCCGAGTCTTGATTTTTTTCAAACATCAAATAATTGCCTTTGGTCTCCATGAGCTGAACGATAATTTAGTACCGTTGTTTGGGTATGTTTTTTAACAATGTTTTTTAAATCTTTATTAAATTTTGCTAAATGTTTTGCTTCATTCTTTAGGAAAAAGTCTTAAAAATCGTTCCCGCTCATTTTTGATTTTTCGCTATTTGATTTCATTTTATATTCCGTTCGTTTCCTTTGACGCTAAAAACGTAATCTCTTTTTAATTTCGCATAAAACGTGATCTCTTTTTAGTTTTGGAAGTGGATTTCAGTTTTCAGATTTCCCAGCGGAATGAAATTTTTGCCTAAGGAACCAGTTTTATCCAATTAGGTCAATATCATCAAAAAATGTCAATCATAAATTGTTCTAAAAATTCAAAGAGCTTTGAGGCCATCTGTTTTTTTCCTTTAATTTCGAAAGTTGAGATTTTTTTATAAGAGAAATCTAAATTTAAATTTTTTTTTCTATTTTTTTGCATCATTGATTCTGACTTAGATGTCTGTGGGATATGTTTTTGTTCCGACTTTCGTAACGAATCTAACGGAATACTTGTGCTCGGGTTGAGTTTTTTTCTTCAGACAAATTTCAACTTTTAAACTAGCCATTTTGACAATTTTTTTATATCATTCGAAAGCCATTGTTCTCCTGAGCTTAAATTTGAAAAGATTCTTCACTTGTGATCATTTTTTGATAAGTTATGGGGGTTTACAGATTGCCATTTTTCCCAATTTGGGACAATTATCGCGCGATATTTATTGCGTTTTTAACGCGTAAGCAGAGATTTAATTCGTCTTAAAAATTGTTACAAATTGATTCAAGGAAGCTTATATGCCATAATTGATTTGTTAAGAGTAGCAAAATCTATCGCGTTGTACTTAATATGGCGTGTGGGTCGATGTTTTTTCAAAAAAAATCTCAAATTGTTTTTCATTTTTTTAAATTTTATTATAATTAATTTTTTTATGTTATTACTGCTCCATAGACCTTAAAAGGCAGTCGGAACATTTAAGACTTTGCCCTGATACGAGCAGTTTTGTTGTCTTATCCATTGAAAGTTTTTACAAAGTTGTTTAAACTCAATTAAGATATTGACGTACTGATTTCAACTGTAAGAAGATTTGATAAGCCATATCAAGTTTGGTGAAGCTGTAAGTGTTTAAAAACTGCCAATTAGGCCGAATTGGAATGTTATATCATATAAACTTTACAAAATTTGTCTATGATGTTTACGACTAAGCGCGAAGTATTTCACAATACGGAGTCATTTTATTCAGTACCCTTTTAGTATCCTTATTTATCTGCAACCAGACTGCTCGTATCAGGGCGAAGCCCTGAAAGTTCCGACTGCCTTTTAAGGTCTATGGAGCAGTAATAAAATGAAAAATTTAAATGTAATAAAATGAAATGAAAAAACTTAAAAAAAAGTTGAGATCAAAACGTCATATTGAGTACAAAGTGATAGATTTTGCTTCTATTAGCAAATAAATTATGGCATATAAGCTTCCTTGAACCAGTTTAGAACGATTTTTAGACGGATTAAATCTCGCTCTCCTGTTAATAGCCATAATTGTCCCAAATTGGCCAAAATGGCAATATTTCAACCCCCATAACTTTACGAAAAATGATCACAGGTAAAATATCTTTTCAAATTTAAGCTCAGGACAACAATAGCTTTCGAATGATATAAAAAAATTTCCGTCAAAAATGGCTAGTTTAAAAGTCGAAATTTGTCTGAAGAAAAAAAACCCACCCCGAGCACGAATATGCCGTTACTTTCGATACGAAAGTCGGAACAATAATCTATTTGCAACATAAACTACTTGATATTGGCTTTTGGGAAAACAAACAGCCAAAACAGACGAATGATTCTTCAAACTAATATGAGCGATATTATTTGTTTTGTTTGTCACCGAAACAGTTTTATCCAACTGATTTCCCTCGTTTCCTAATTTCTGATATCAGGAACAGCATTGAACAACACATGATATCGAGAGATATGCCATTTCAACCTCCTTTTAATCGGGATTTCACCTTCAGTACCATGAAATGAAATGGAGACTTTTTATAGTCGAGTATCACCAAAATTTCGATCTTTTGTTTTTCAGAGCCGAGAATGATTATTTGTATAAGTTTACCTGAGTTCTTGAGTGAACACTTGTCTCTTAATAGTAAAAGCAGAAAAAAACCTTGTACGGTTTTTTTACGGAAAAAAATATGTCTTGAGGAGCTATCAGATACATTCAAAGTGTGGCTATTATATCATCTTACCAGCCCACAACGCTTTCCAAGAAAAAGCTAAAAACAGTCAAGAGTTTTATTTTGTAACATTGCATTGTTACGTGCATTGTTTTCTACAGCAAACACCAATTAGCGTATATTCTTTTAAATTTTTTTATTAAATTAGTTAGAAAAATTAGTGTCGACAAAAAGGCTGAATTTAAATTATCCGGACAAAATAAAAAAACTTAAATTTAAATTTCTTGTCAAAAAAGGGACACAAATTGCTTCGAATTTTAAGACAACTTTTTATGGTGCAGCTGGGGGCGGATTTAGGGGGGGGGGGGAGGGTGGGTGGTGTGTCGGACGCCTTTTTCCTCCCTCCTCAGGGATTCAACCACCTACCGACCCAAAGGGTCCCCCTTTGTACTGTTTTGAGGTATCCGTTTTCGGCTGTTGGACCCCAAAACTTTTCTAAAAAATTATATATAATTATATGTTAATCTTGAGTGGGGAATGCGCGCCAAAAAGAACGCAATTTTTTGATCGAAATTTTCTGAAAAGTGCCTAGAAACGCCTTTTTAGCCTGTTTTTTCAATATTTTGCCTGCGGCGCAAAAAAAATTGCCAAAATATATTTTTTGGTGCTTTGGATCGCAAAATCGATTTGATCGACCTCAAAAAAAGGTCGAAAAGATTTTCGAAATGTTTTCGAAAATGCACCCCCTCTCGAGAAAATCCTAAATCTGCCCCCGTGAATCAGTCGATTTTGCAAAATTCGAATCCAAAATGGCAACCCAAAGCCAATCTTTTTTTACTACCGTCTGCCGTATCAATTGCTAAAACGCCATTCCAAGGTTAGCATCATAACAAAATGATTTTTGAAAGTTTTGTTAGTAGTATCCTTTTTAACTTGGAAATGTCTCGTTCTTACACATTTTTATGTTCTGTTTTGTTATTCAGCTGTTTTGTTTTGTAAAAATTCGATGAGTAACGGAGTGGTTACAAAATTATGCATTGATTTTCGTGCGTGATCTCTGTTAATTGAAAAATTCTTTAAGGCATTAACTTGAGTAGTCTAATCAGTCTTGAAAGAAATCGGTCTAAAAATTCCAAATTTCAGTCCAAACAAAAACAGAACACTAGCAAAGATAACTATCATCTGTTTTCTAAAGAGAACTTCATAATATCGTTTTGTATAAATTTAAAACTGCTTTTTGGAATGTCATTATTGCATATTAATACAATTCAATCCAGATGATGTCATCTAGCGTCACAAAATAATTGGGCATCAAAATTGTTGTTATTTCACACCTTTAAATTGACATCACATAAATGATTTGGGTCAGTTTTGTTTTAATTTGGATCATGAAGTACAGTGCTGATTTGAATTAACCGGACAAAAGCGTTAAACTTGAAATTTAAAACCCGTTTTTCTCAAATTGGGTTGAATTTAGGTGAAAACTTATGAAGACAAAACTTGCTTAAAATTTTAGCAGAATTAATATGGTCCCGAATTCGGGCCCAAAATTTTACCCCCAATAACTGGTCATTTTAGCTTTTCTTAGCTCACCAAAAATTACGCCAATAATGCCTGGTCGATCACAGACATACTTATATCAAAGTGAGCCTCTTACGTAGCCCAACAAACTTTAAGAAAGGTATATTCTCCAAAACATTGTAAAAAATAATTTATTTTTGTTTGATAGACAAAAAAGGTCGTTTTACTATATAAAATACCAACTTTTTATTTAAAAACTATTTTTGAACGGTTTGCAAATTTGAAAAACAGTTTTGATGATGTTGGGCATTCACTTCAAAATCGCGTCAAAACTTAGAACTCCAGTCCTAGGTCGAAGTAGGCTAAATAATTGTTATTGTTCCGATCACTCGAAAAGTGAAAAAAAACTAGGTAATAGAGTCAATTCATTAACTTTTTTTGGCCAATTTTAACTACTTCAACGAAACCTTGCAGGGAGTCAAGTGTGGTATTATATTAAAGCTCTGTTGATTGTGATTTTTGCTGCAAAACAAATTTAAAAGCTGTCAGAATTTCAAAAAATTGACGCGAGAATTTCAAAAAATTGAGTCAAATCCGGTAATACAGTGCTGATTTAAAATAACCGGACAAAAACAACAAAACTCGAATTTTCAACGCATTTTTCTCAAATTGGTTTAAG